TTTTTTTAATGATCAGAAAAAAGTGTTATGAGTGTCCTTATGTTAAGGAAGAGCTGTTATCTGAAACTAGACTGCGTGAGATGAGATATCATTCGCATTTTTATAGGTCTGAATACGTAAAAGACGACTTCCGCTTCAAAAATCCTCGCGGAGTGTTGAAGATATGGGCTGAGCGCGAATTCATGAATCTAATGAGGTAGCTTATTCTTGATTGAATGGAAAAACGGGAAGTATTCTTTAGGTTTTTCAAAAATTACTTTTTCGTTTCCATCTCAAAGGTTCCCTTTATTGAAGTTGGTTTTTTAGCGCTTGTTGATTTCGGGGTTATTTATTTCAGTGATTTTTAGAATGTCTCGAGTGGGTATCCCATGTCCTGTGCCAGTGAAGTTAAAGCGCCATTTGCTTGTTATGACGTTGATTGGTGAAGACGGCGTGGCAGCACCTCGTCTCAAGAATATTGACTGGGAATTTTACACCCTCGAGGAGAGAAAGGATATCTTTGTGCAAGTACAAGATGTAATCCATTTGTCGATTATTCCTGCTAATTTTTTGATGTTATCTTCCTATTTGTACAGATTATGTGTCGTATGTACAAAGATTGTAAGCTGGTTCATGCAGATCTAAGTGAGTTCAACCTACTGTTGGCAGGCGGGAAGGTGAGCTAGTATTTGTAAGAGTTCGGTTTCGAACTTGTGTCTGATCTCACTTCTAATTGCCTTTCTTCGATTATTTGCAATATTTTTTCAGTTATTTTTTCTGTGTCCAGATTGGCCGTATTTTTAGGTATATGTCATCGACGTGTCTCAAGCCATGGACTTATCGCATCCAAGAAATCTTCACTATCTGATCAGGTAGCTATTCAGCATTCACGTAATTCGGCACCCTGAGTTATTTCTTAGATATAGAAGGAATTCATTTTCAGAGATATTGAGAATGTTCTGGCGTTCTTCCATAAACTCGAAATTCCGGAGTTACCCACTCCAGTAGCATTATTCAATTTGATCACAGATTTAGCGATGACCGAGGATGGGTCTCTTCTTGTTCAGGTATTTTTTGATCATTATTTTATGTCTGATGCAAAATTTAAGCTTTGCATTTTTCTCAAGTGTTTTTATCAGGTGGAACGTTTTGCGGAGGATAACAGACTCAATTCAATTAACAAATCGAAACCGGCTGACTTTGAGTGGGCCGCCTACAATAAAGAAAGAAAGGAGCGTGGCGAGTCGCCCGCCAGGGAATACAACTGATGGACGGGCGATATAGTAGTAGTTTGTGTTTTACAAATGTAACTACGAGATACAGTCGAGGCAAGCATCTCGATGTGTGCAGGTACAGACGAATTTTTTTGTTGCGCTACCGTATCAAGCATAAGCAAAAAATATTTTCAATAATTTGGAAGAATAGGAATACTAGGATCTTGTAGAAAGCAAATTCTAAAGTTGTATAAAAACAAGAAAAAATGCTTTTTCATATACAAGAGATGTACGAATCTGTTAGTAGCTTGTAATTATGCACATATCGGGTGATTGTTGATACTGTACTTGTTGTTGCTGGTCATTTGTTTTTGTTTTTAAGTATGATAACTATGTTATGTAATAATTACTTCTCAAAACTCTGTTCCATAGTTCTAAGATACTTAGCGGATGTAACTTTGGGAGAAATAATAAAAATGATTTCGGAGCAAGAGTTCTATACAGAATAGTTGAATTCTAGAATAGATTTTTTTGAGATTATTTGTGTGATAATACGTCATACGCTTTATACACTGTTAGGTTACATGTTTTTGAAGTGTAACACGTAGTTTGACAGTTTTTTGAAGTATTCGCGAAGGTATTGGAGTTCGTAGTAAATTATGTCGGATTTTTTGACAGCCGTAGCGATTTATCCAGCTCCATATACACGGAGTCCAGATCCAAATTCGTAGAACGGCCCATTTCTACTAGACAGGCGTTTACTGCTTAATTGTCCCCTCGTTTACTTTTCTGGAGCGTTTCAGTGTGCTGAACACGAATAGCAACTTCAATTACGTGAAAATTTCAAAGAAGAAAAATTTTCGATACGCTGGCAGGGACGAGTGGCAGAGGACAGTTTCAAATTTTCGCCTTTTGGTACCAAAACGGTCGACCTTTCTCGCTATGGACATAGCCGAGAGAAGCGAAATGCAGCGTTGCTCCCCAGTGGGCGACGTAACCTAAAAGGGGGCGTGCTGACCTAAACTTCTGGAGCGGTTTTTTTTCTCACTTATCACGGAGAATATTGGCGTGAATTTGGCTTAGTCACAAAGACTGCTATCATCATGTGATAAGAACACGAAATCCTTGGTTTTGCCGAACATCGCCTTTGTACGTGGCGATTTGTTTCACACAGCGGCAATGAGACTGCAATAGCGAAATTTTTCGTAAAATGAGAGAACTCACTTTACGTAAAGTCGAAAATCTTTTTTTGAAGAAATGTTCGCGAGCTTTAAATGAGAATACCAAGTTTTTTCGATCATGCAAACCACTCCAACATCACTACGAAACTCAGCAACTGGGCAGAAAACAACAGAAAAGGGATTTTCGTGCATCCAACGGGTTTACCTAAGAATTACTTTGACGTGATCATAGCAGCTTTGTTCTCGGGAGTAGACCCAGGATCGAGGCTAGCAATAAAAGGGACGAGAACAAGGTGTGACTCTGTCAGCTATTCTGATTTTTTTCTGAAGTCTTATAAAGAGAGCCCTTAGTTTTTGACTTGGGAGTAGACTCCAATATCCTTTAGGAGACAAAAAGAGATATCCTTAAGACTACTAGGTTTTTTGCAGAGTACCATTTCAAATATGTTGTATTGATAAGTAGGAATAAAAAGCTGCAGCTACGTAGGCCGAAGCTATATTGAAAGGGAAGAAGCAGTGGAAGCACTTCCTGTGGACTGCAGATCTTTATCCAGAATGTTGGTGAATTAGAGAAAGGAGCAATTCACTGTACGAAGTTATTGCTGAAAAATGGGAATAAACATATTTGTTCTTTTCTTACCGGATATGTCCCTTTGAAAAAGTATAAATTATCCTAATGCACTAACTGTTGAGCAAACTTATGTTTTCACCTCTTCAAGCCTACCTACCGTAATGCAAC